GTTTAAAACCGCAGGAATTTAGTGGATTTCTTTATTTAACCTACATTTTTCATTTATTGGAATTTGAGCAAAGATACACTTCAAAGGTTGTACCATTTTAATCTGATTCTGATGTTTTCTTAAATCTGGAATATATAAAACAAAATAATTATAACGCTGGAGCTCTGTATGAACAATATTATAATTAAGTTTTTGATAATTTCAACATTTAACATTTCAGAAAATATATAATATTAGGCCTTAGCTTTTTCAATCGGCACTAAATAATGTACTAAATTATCATTTTACAAACTATGTTATCTCGCAAAGTATTGGTAATAACTTTTTATTGCAAACTATTTTTTTTAAATTTTATGTTGCAAATCCAGAGATATTTGATAATGTACTAACTGTTTTACTATTCCCAATCCAATATAAAAAATAAGAAAAAGCCAAATTTAACGGATCTAGTTGGAATACCAATGTTTTCCTCCCCACCCAACCAGCATCCATTTCAAATAAAATACAAGAGTCGATAGCTACGATGACTGGGAGGGGAATGCGGAGTGCAGCGAATCAACAGTGCCAAATTCAATTGCAAATAGTGAAACACATTGTTCTCGTGTCTCACTGTTTCGTTGACAATTTTTTAGTTTTTATTATTTTTCGCTTCGTTTCGGTAGAAGACAGAATGGAAGGGGTGCGGTGGTGTGAGAGTAAAAGTTAGAGCAACGTCGTCGACACAGTGGGAATTTATTGAAAATGCTTCGATTTATGTTTAGTACGATATTTGCATTTTGGCTGACGAACGGAACGGCGACAAATGCAGCAGAAATATGTTTTCAGCTATAAATGTGTTAGCGGGGGAGAGGAAAATGTGGGGATTCGACAAGTGGTGGATGCCTGGAAATAAATAGATGGGTGGCAAGGGATGTCACTGTGGGAATACGATTGGTTGAGATGGCAGGATAGATAAAACCTTGAGCTTCCCATTTGAAAAATAATATTTAGGTTATCGAACGCGCTTTAAAATGTTTATAAGACGGTGCACTTAAGTTTGCGGATAGAATTCGTATGTTACTGATTGACTTTAATTATAATATTAGAATGATAAACATATGTTTTTTTACATTTAAATACCTACATACTTAAAATTTAGTTTAATTAACTAAAATCAGAGCTATTAGAATTTCGAAAGGTGAGTTTTAGTACAGAAGGAATTTTAAAAATAAAGAAAAGGGCATCTGAATCCTATTTTACCGCTTGGAAGGGGAAAATGAAAAAGAACCATCCATAAAAAGCAATTCGACTTTACGGCTTTTAGGACTGATTGTAAGAGATGCCGCAAACAAATGAAGTTGTCACCAGTGGTTTCATACATATAGGCAGACCGCGAAAAGCCGCAAACGGAAAATTGAGCTGGTGTGTGAAAAAAAATGCAGAGGACCTGCAGGCGCAGTCCAACTAACGAATAGTCTTTAATCTTCTTAAGTGAGACTGCCCTCGCATCGGGCACAGCTGCTCTGGCAGTCGAGGACTGTCATCAGAGGCGAATATGACTGGTAATAAACCAGGCCAAGGAGCCAACAAGTCAAGGAGCTTTCAGTTTCTCCTATTTTGGCCACTTTATGTTTTTCTTCAATCTCCTCAAATGGTAGAACAAGCTTATTTCTGGGATTGTCTATAGCGAATTCAACGTATTTGATTGATTACCAGGAATTTGACCAACTCTACCGTTTCGAAAAATTCACCAGAAATCCATTTGGGAATAATCAGACCTTCGTTCTCAGTCATCTCTTATTTCATTGGTTTTCTGGCAGCAAATTAGCGTGCAACTATGCTCATCCAGATTTTGATATACTCTGTTTCTATGCAGCTATTTGGCATGTACGTTTCGTCTTATTGTACATTTTTTAATAACCTTTTCAAAAAAATTTGCTTTTAAGTGTATCAGTATAATTAAAATATTGTATTAATTAAGAAAATAATCACCACTACTCTTTAGACTTTAACAAATAGTGATAATAAGATATTTTCCCAAAATCATAGTAAGAATAACAAATGAGTTTTTTGCGTTTTTTACGCTCATATTAATTTATTTATAATTCTTAGAGAAAAGAGTGTATCCTGACCTTTGGGTACCCAACAGATCCTTTCCCATCCGACTTTATTATTCCGTGATTTCGGTTTCGTCTCAAGTAGCACCGACTTTGCATGAGGAGAGGGCAGTGAATGTAATTACTTTAATGCGACCATTTGCCGCTTTAGTTGCTGCTGCTGCGAGTTGCTGCTTTGGCCGAGATAAAGATAAACTTTTGCAATTACAACAGGCGAGAGTGAACGAAGCAGAAACAAGAATCGGCTGGGGGAATGAAGAAGGCGCAACCCGATAGCATCGAATCGCGTTTTCCTTTAGTGCGTTCCCCATTGGCATTGGCTAATTAGCTGAAACACCTTCTTCTCGTTTCCCCCAATATAACGATGCAGTGGCCAAGTTAAAGGTCGTGCCCAACTTAAACAATGCCCACCTAAATGGACTCTTAAAGTGAGCGGACTTTAAAAAGTTTAGCCCATCCTGCAAGCGTTGAAAATTTCCCCTGTTAACATATGCAAAGTATAAAAAAATCAGGAAATCGCACAAAAAACTGTGCTTCGACTTAGGTGTGTCCGCCTAAAATAACTTTTGATGACTTTTTGAAAGTTTTACGCTTCACCAGAAGTAAAACGCAAGTTACACGGGGCAGCATTACTTATGGCCAACAATAACAAGAGCCAGAACATGAACATTCGGAAAGAGCTTCGGAAATTTATAAAGTTGAGCTCCTCACTTTACTCCTCGACATAAATTGATGGTCGGGACTTCAAGACTTTTGACCGCCAACAAGTGAATGCAACAAATTAACCAAAATTTCAACTAATTGGGCGAAAACTTGGAGAAGGCCTGAAATAGGTGGGATTATATGGCAAAGTTGTTGATGGGGTAAACTTCTAACTAAAAGATATTTCTAAAAGAAAACATTTGAAGTAAGTATTTGTAGCCAGGTAAATATTAGCTTTTAAATATATTTCTGAAGAGAACTTTAAATAATATACAAAAGTAGAGTTATGTGCATATATGGTTAAATGAGATAAATTTATGCAAAAATACACATTATTTATTTTCGAAGATAGATTCACTAAGATTGGCTTAATTCCAATTAATGAAAGTATTTTGTAATTAAAAATTTATGGATTTTTATAATTAGTTTCCGTATCAGTAGATTAAATGTAAATTTGTTGTGGGACAGATTAAAGGTTGTTTATCGTTTCAAGGGCTGAAAAAAGTTTGTAAAATACACCGTTAATGAATACAAATCCAGATTTACGTTCTTTCATTCAATATTCCACCATGGGTCTAAGCCGCAGTCCGAAAACCAACCGGTATTCAGAAGATAAACCCTCACCGCAGAGTCACATGCAAAAATTCGTGGGCATTTCGCAGTTTTTTCTAGCTGCTCCTGCTGCCGCTGACCAACCAAACATTTTGTTTGTGCAAAAATTTTGTGTGATTTCCCCACGGAAATTGATGATGGTGTTTGCTGAGTCGCAAACGTGTTGGCGGAGTTAAGCGGGATGAGTTTGCGGGCCAGGCCAGCGACAGCGACAGCACTGAGCCCACCTACAGTGAATTTGTCATTTCCAGTTCTAAACGTGCGGACAAACACTGAATCAGTCGTGCCCAAAGGGCCTGAGGCTGGGGCTGGTGATGGTGCTGGTGCTGGGGATACGGGATACGGAATACGGGAATCGGGAATCGCAGAAGGCCGAACAGACCAGCCAGGAGATGGAACACGGAAACCCGAGCCAAGCTGTGCCTGCTCAATGACGATTCAGTGTGCGTGGCTCCTAGAGATGATTGCGTGATGCGTATGGCGTTTATTTTGGAACTGCACAGAGAAAACTGAGTTCTACGATTCGATGCTTCTATTGTAAAAACATTTTAATAATTAAAACAAAACAAACTGAAACGAATAAGTAAAACTTTATTTTTATGAAGACTTTTACGTTTACGATTGTTTAAGACTTGGTCAATCTATTTGTTTTGTCTGCCCAGGTAAATTTATTAAATTTAATATTTAAATTTAATTATTATTTTTATATCCTTGTAACAAAAGCAAACGTTTTCTTCTGTTTTAGGTAAAAACTATGTTGGGAATTCTAATCATTTTTAAAAATTGGGAACGTTAGTCTAACGAATTGTCTACTACGTTTTCAAAACTCACGATCGCTGTTCAATCACGTGGGTGTCCCACTCATATTCAGCCTTTTGGCACGGTTGTCGGCAGTCATTCCAGCGGACTGGAGCCTGGTCTCTGCTGGAGGACAAGGACGAGGACGAGGACAAGAGCACAGTGCGTGTCGCTTTAACAAACCGGAAGTTACATGCGATGTAATGAAAAAGGACAGGGCGGAAGTCGCAGTGGGGTTCCCCAGCCCAGTTCGCCAAGGGAGGTTCGAAATCAGGACTACGGACTGGCCCTATCCGAATGAGTTTGCTTTAACGCTGCTGGTATTTATAGACAATTGGTTCGTGATTGTTGACAGCGCTCAGCGTCCTGCTGAACTCTCCACGGAACCAACCATCGACCATCGACCATCGCCACTCGAATCGAATCAAATTGACTCGGCTCGAGTCGACTCTGCACTGGCAATTTTTTGCATGCCCCATAAAAATGGTACGAAATATGGTTGGCCATGGGCTGAAACGAGTTGGAACCAGATGAGTGGGTTTAAGTGAATGGGTGTGCACTGCATGCAGGAAATAGCGGGCAGTTTCCCATTTAGGCAATTGAGTTAGGCCCCACAGCCCGGGGATAAATCAGAGAAATCTGCAAAGGATTTTTGTTCAAAACTGTGCACTTAACACGAAATATTTATTTTTCTTTAATGGCGTATGAGAAGTATTTAAATTATTCTCAATCGGTTTTGTTGTTGTATATCTATTTACCCAAGAAAAATAGTGACATTTAAATTATCATTATTATTCCGATATAGTAGTATTTTATTTTCAGTCACAAAACATTAGAGCCCTAACAAAATTTTCGTGTTGAAAACTTTTCGCAGTTTCTTTGACTTTGCAAAAAATATGGCGGAGAATATTGAGAAGAATTCAAATAGATCGGTAGCTAACACCGTGGCAAAGAGAGAATCCCTTTGCGATATTAGCAGCAGTTCTTTGGACGCAGGGACTCTTTCATCTGATTTAGAACTGGAACGAATTGTGGCAAAGACTTTGGGACAGCTTCAAGCGATACCCCACTTTGGCGACCTGTATGTGAATGACTTAGTGGATGTGATTATGCCAAAAATTAGGAGCGAAGTATTCGGCTATGACCGAGCCTACAAGGATGTTCAGAATATACAAGAATCCCTGGATACAAATCTACAGCAGGTGCAAGTAGTAGATCAGGACATAGCTGATATATTTTTAGATTTCCACAATGTATATAGGAAGCTTGAAAAATTCGATGAAAGTGGCAGCAAGTTGAGCAGCGCAAAAAAGGTAAAGTTGATAAGGCATGTCAAAGAAGCTGAGGAATTTCAGAATCGTTCGCGGCATTATCTTTCAAATGATCCCAAAGAGATGAGTGCCAAGCTTGTTGGTCCCCCAAAGGAACCCCCATCAAATCCCAAGGTACGTGACTGTTTGTCAAAGCCAAAAACTCCAGTTAACAATCGGTATCAAGGGGGACTAATCCCACATAAGAGGCATTGTGTGAACCTTTCCACGGAGCTCACTGAGAGAAGGACGTTTCTCACCAACATGATAGCGTTCAAGAAATCGGACTATTCGTTTCAACTTAATCGCTTCAAAACTTACTTCAGTGATGTCCAGCATGCAATAAATTGTCATGAGTAATAAATTAATATGTACTTTGTTTTAAATAATTTGTTTAATGTTACAGTTTACATAATAAAAAGGAAGTAAACTATTCAATTTAATATTATACTTATACTTATTAAATAGATAGAGGAATCTGTGAATTTAGGAATACAAAGTCATTGTAAAGGCTTTGTTCAGAAAAAAAAGGCGATCATTATCCCGATTACCTCACTTAACTCAGAATAGCCTGCAGACCTTTGCATATCGTTTTTTTCAATTGCTGGTAACACTTGCTCCCCAATTTCTTTGTTATTCTTCTGTTTGTTCTTTCGATGGCTTTGTAAACAAAGCAAAGTGCAAATTTATGTGGTAAACCACTTGAAATCGAACATTTTTGCCATCAGAGGAGATGCCCTGAATGCAAAGCTTTGATTGTTACTTAAAATGTATCTTGAACCGTATCTGTATCTCACTTGTTGCCCTCTCCGAATCCAAATTCGAATCCGAACCCGCAACTGTTGTGCAAATGTAAATGTTGGCAAAGTGGCAAGTCAGGTGGTTGGATGTTACTCTCTTCCATTCCATTAGCCTCAAGTTAAAGCTTTGGCAGAGCTGATGACTGTTAAAGTCGAAATTTGCATTTGAATTGGGGGGATTTAGGATAGACGTCGGCTGGAATTAAAGGAGTGTGAAAAATTGATTTGAATTTCTAGTTCTTTTGCTCGCTTTAGTTCATGTTCGCATCACAATTTGATATATGGAGCTATACCCATCGCTTACAATGTTATTGTGGAGCCGAAACGGGGTTAATTCGATTATCGTCAATCGGTGTGTGGTTGTTCTTAATTGATTTGAGCAAATGCTGCAAACGAGATTAATTGATGAGAGGGAAACCAAAGCCCAAATGGGCAATGGCAAAGCCCCCAAACTAAACGGACAATTCAAATTGTTTCTATGCCCATTCAGAGCTCCATCCTAAATTGTGTTGTCTTTTTTACTGCAGCAGGTTGTGTGCACTCAAAATAATAGAGCACAGTAGAGGGCAAATACGACAAAGGGACAATACGCAAACTGAAAACTTGGAAGGAGGATCCAAGGATCTCTGACTGCTGCAGTCCGTGTAATGGCGGCGTTTACTCAATTTTAGTACGTAGTAAACGTATTTCTTTTATGGCCCCGTAGGTTATTTGTGCATCTCTCTGACTCGCTGGCATGGTCTACATTCCGGGATGCGAGCGTACTCAGACAAACAATTCAGAAAAGATATATATCCCTGACACAATAAACGAAGTTCGTTTCCTGAGTGGCCATTTTACTGCGAGGCCTTTCAGTTGGAGTGCCCGTGCCCGTGCCCGTGCCCCATCCTATCCATCCCATCCATCCCACCCATCTTCCCCAGCCACTCAACCCCTATCTTGGGGCCAGAACTAAGCAAATATTCGCACACAAATATGATGAAGTATCGGGGGACTGGGTGGGTGGATATGTTTGTATTCCTGCTTCTGGTTTGCTTTTAATTGCTTTCAAGTAAACAGAATGCCCCTTGGTAAATGGGAACATAAATATAATTGCCAGGTTGGCTCTCGCATTGCTTTAAAATTTCCACTCTCGAGGCCATATGTGCCAGAGTCAAACATTTGCCTGTCCAGCTTTCCTTCCACTTGCTAGTGGCTTCCGATGTGCTTTGCAGTGCCGAAGGTGTTATTTAATTTAATGCCATGATTTGACAGATTACATATTTACCACTCTGATTGTTGTGGTCGCTGTTGCTGGGGCCTTTGGTTTCACCACTAGACTGGCTAACAATTAACCGGAAATCGAATGAGAAACATACTAAGTTACACAAATGGAAAATTCATACTTTATAAATTTTTTACTAAATTAGGTTATTCCCTCATTAATTTTCCTAAGCATTAATGAATCCAATAGCAAAGACTAGATTATAATGAGTAAAAACAGTGTTACTCCTTATTTATTTTGACGATTTAAATCCATTTCATTTGCAATTTTGAATATATTTCTGGTAGTATAATGTGGATATAATGCAAATAATTTGTGTTGCATTGTGTTATTTATATAGCTAGCAACCCGCAGTGTGAATGACTTTTTTTATGCATAGTCCTTTTTATACCCTTGCAGAGGGTATTATAATTTTGGTCAAAAGTGTGCAACGCAGTGAAGGAGACATCTCCGACCCTATAAAGTATATATATTCTTGATCAGGATCACCTCCTGAGTTGATATAGCCATGTCCGTCTGTCCGTCTGTCCGTCTGTCTGTCCGTCTGTCTGTTTCTACGCGAACTAGTCTCTCAGTTTTAAAGATATCGAATTGAAACTTTGCACACACCCTTCTTTCCTTTGCACGCAGTATATAAGTCGGAACGGCCGGGATCGGCCGACTATATCCTATAGCTGCCATATAACTGATTAATCGGAAATGCCATAACTCTGCTGTTTGTTAAGTTAGGAAGTTGGGACTTTCTATGGGTTTTATATTTGGCCAATCAATCCGACGTACCAAATTTCATAAGGATCGGCCGACTATATCTTATAGCTGCCATATAACTGATTGATCGGAAATGCCATAACTTTGGTGTTTGTAAAGTTAGGAAGTTGGGATTTTCTATGGGTTTTATATTTGGCCAATTAATCCGACCTACCAAATTTCATAAGGATCGGCCGACTATATCTTATAGCTGCCATATAACTGATTGATCGGAAATGCCATAACTTTGGTGTTTGTTAAGTTAGGAAGTTGGGATTTTCTATGGGATTTATTTTTGCCTAATCAATCCGACATATCAAATTTCATAAGGATCGGCCGACTATATTCTATAGCTGCCATATAACTGAACGATTGGAAATGATATAACTTTGGTGTTTTTAAAGTTAGGAAGTTGGGATTTTTTATGAGTATTAAGAATGCATTATGAATGATTTTGGAGAATATAATTTGCAGAATATTCTGCAAGGGTATTTCAACTTCGGCTCCGCCCGAAGTTAGCTTTCCTTTCTTGTTTTGTAGTGGAATCGACTTTAGTGGGGGGTTGGTCAAGTGCCAGCTGCATTAGGCCATAAATTTGCCAAAAAGTAAACAGTAAACATTTTATTGTTGTTTTTCAGGACCCAACACCCTCCATTCGACTGTTTTAAATAATTATTTAACATTTTACATTGTTTAGCTCGCGTTTTTCGTGTCGCCATGCGGGTGCGTTCGATGCAGAGGGGCGGCTTTTGTTTGTTGTAAAGATTTGCACGATTTGCATTTGTGCCAAAACGATTCATGAATGATTCATGTGCGCCAGACCAGAAGCAGATGTCGACAATACTCATCCCACTTCGATTTATGCATCGGGCACGTGCCAACGGTTGGGCGGCGATGACGGTGGAGCTTTAAAGGATTTCAAGTGTCGGAATGGAGGTGGAGAGATGCGTACTATTTAAATGAATTTAAAGTGATTCGATAATATCCCTGGGTCTTATTATTTGTATTGAGATTTGACGAATCTAACTTAAAGCTTTCGAAGACCTCACTTGACTTTTTTAGGGCAGTATTTTTCAAAGATTTTTATTTTGTTTTATTGGTTCATAGCTAGCAATGCTGTAGGGCAGTCACTTAAAGTATTTCCCAATATAATATAAACTTAGAAATAACTTAACATTTGAATGTTTTTAAATTTTGTAACATACTGAAATTAGTATTTTTAGCGTAATTCATATCTTTCTACAAAATGTAAGGTTTTCTTTATGCAGTAAGCATAGATTTGTTATCCCATCAAGTTTTGCTTTTTATATCAACAGTCACATAAATAAATCAAACAACCCCAAATCACAGCGGGAAAATGACGGTATTTTAATTTAAATACATTTGTTTTTGGTCGAAAAAAGATTAATTGAGCTTTTTTCACCAGACAACAGCCAGAAAGTCTTTGGAACACAGTGAAGGAATCAAAGCTAGAAAATTTGAACAGCAATCAACTTGCAAAGTAAGCCATGGCCTCGCTCGAAAGACATCGCTCATAGATTTTAGCCAGAAGATGAAGAAGGATCAGAAATACAAGCTGAGAGATGAGGATAAAACTGCCTGGTTGAACGCCAACGGCCAGACAATTGCGGTACAAAAAATACATATCGATTCTTTGGGAATGGACATGAAACATTTCTTTACTCCAAAGGCTTTATTTGAATTGGATACACAAGAGTTTTCGGAGGTGCAGATCGAAAGCAATACATATAAAATAATAACCGCGCAGTCTGACCTTACGCTCAAAAAAAAGTATCGCAATATCCACTCCGCATCGGAGCTTATGATGAATCCTGGTATTGTTCAGCCCATTGATAAAAGCATACTGAAAATGGCCAAGGACTCTCCTCGAAAGTTCAGAGAGTCTGGAACAAACAGAGTTCAGAAGCCAAACAGTGGAAAAAAGGTTTCAAAAACTCCCCGTAGCAGATCTAGTACAAAATCCACTCTAAAGAAGGACATTGAGAATTTAGAATATGATGATCTGACTTTGTGCGAATTCGATGCTATTACACCTGGCAGGGATTCAAATCATAGTGTCAGTGAAGAAAACTTCAGCCCTAAAGTTACATTTTATATAGATCCAGAAGAAGGAAAAACGTTGAAATCTACCCACGTTGGCTGCTCAAAAACCACGAACATAAAGGCGATCGACGATAATGATAGGTGTTTGGAAAAAAACTTTTATTTAGAAGATAAAGATCCGCTCCGCTTAAATCAAATTACTTTAGAAAAAAAAGGAACGACCCCAGTCGACCGTCGCATTACTGAAGAAAATGAAAAACCTATTCGCTTGAGGGATTCAATTTGTTTTAAGAGGGTAAGCCCCAGATTGAATCAACCAGAAAATAAGTTAAAATGTTCAAATCAGTTAGAAATTCAGGAAATTCCTCGACAGCCCGTCAGCATTGATCGCAGTAAGAAGGAAAATGCACCCATCATTGGTAACCAAATAGGTCGTCCTACGAATGTGGCTATTGTGGACCCGAGTCCCTCTGTTTTAAATCGTCGTAATTGCCCATATCAGTCTGTTCCTCCGGTTCCAATAGCTTTTGGAAGAAAACCGGAGTTTAATCAAGTTGGCGATGTTTTTGCTGATGATCCGGCGCCCCAGAGAGCCCGTTTTCTGCCTAGACCCAAAAAAGGTTTAGCGTTAGGAATAAATATAAGTGACTACGTCTTTCCATCGCCGGCCTACTTGGCAAGCCTTGATTTGCATTCATTGGGCACCTCAAAAGACGAGAATATATGTCAATTGATGTCGAAGCGCACTGAGATATTGAGGGATCATGCGAACCGATTAAAAGAGTTGTTAGCAAATCGGCAAAAAGAAATTGATGGCTTTACCTTCAGCAAAAAGGTCAAGAGATCTAAACAAATACCCTTGCATGTTTTTTGTCTGTTTCTAATGGTCATAGCGGGCTTTTGTTTGGTTTTGTATTCCCTTTATTATGAGCAAAATAGACCTCTAACGCTTTGGGAGGGTTTTTTGCTAGCTCCTTAAATATAATTCCTTATATCAATATAAAAGAAAACGACGTTTTTTCTAGGATAATATAGTGAAACACTTCTTAATTCTCAGAAATTTTATTTTCCAAATTTATTAAGTTAAGCATTAGTGTAATTAAAAAACTTTTATAAATAAACCCTGTAAAAATATGGTTATTCAAATAAATATTAATATATTTTAAAAGTGGAAAAATATTACTTACAATTAAAAATAGTTTTATTGATATTTGTATACCCTTGCAGAGGGTATTATAATTTATATATTCTTGATCAGCATCACCAGGAGAGTCGATCTAGCCATCTGTCCATTTCTACGCAAACTAGTCCCTCAGTTTTAAAGCTTTCTTCTTGAAACTTTCCCAAAAATGGTCTTTCTATTGAAGGTAGTATATATCATATAGCTCCCATAGGAACAATCGGGAAAATAGAAAAATTTTAAAAGTATAACTTTGTTGTTTTTAATTTTTTTTTAGTCTTTGATATACCCAAAGTGTCCAAAACTTTAACAAATTTAAGCCGATAAAGAATTGTGGTTCGATTCTCTGAAAAACTGCATTCAAAATTTTCATTTTAGCGTTGATCAAAATTTTGACCCATTTTCATGTTAGTTATTTTAATGATTATGACAACTTGTAAAAAAGTCACCCACAACTGGACTTCTAGGGTTCATAACATTACCAAACTTAAGCCGATTTCAAAGTGGCATACCTCTAAAGAATTGTGATTCGATTCTCTGAAAATCTGCATTCAAAATTTTCATTTTAGCGTTGATCAAAATGTTGACCCATTTTCATGTTAGTTCAGCAATTTATGACAACTTGTAAAAAGGTCACCCACAACTGGACTTCCAGAGTCCATAACTTTACCAAACTTAAGCCGATTTCAAAGTGGCATACCTCTAAAGAATTGTGATTCGATTCTCTGAAAATCTGCATTCAAAATTTTCATTTTAGCGTTGATCAAAATTTTGACCCATTTTCATGTTAGTTATTTTAACGATTATGACAACTTGTAAAAAGTCACCCACAACTGGACTTCTAGGGTTCATAACTTTTCCAAACTTAAGCCGATTTCAAAGTGGCATACCTCTAAAGAATTGTGATTCGATTCTCTGAAAATCTGCATTCAAAATTTTCATTTTAGCGTTGATCAAAATTTTGACCCATTTTCATGTTAGTTATTTTAACGATTATGACAACTTGTAAAAAAGTCACCCACAACTGGACTTCTAGAGTTCATAACTTTACCAAACATAAGCCGATTTCAAAGTGGCATACCTCTAAAGAATTGTGATTCCATTCTCTGAAAATCTGCATTCAAAATTTTCATTTTAGCGTTGATCAAAATTTTGACCCATTTTCATGTTTGTTATTTTAATGATTATGACAACTTGTAAAAAAGTCACCCACAACTGGACTTCTAGAGTTCATAACTTTACCAAACTTAAGCCGATTTCAAAGTGGCATACCTCTAAAGAATTGTGATTCGATTCTCTGAAAATCTGCATTCAAAATTTTCATTTTAGCGTTGATCAAAATTTTGACCCATTTTCATGTTAGTTATTTTAATGATTATGACAACTTGTAAAAAGTCACCCACAACTGGACTTCTAGGGTTCATAACTTTACCAAACTTAAGCCGATTTCAAAGTGGCATACCTCTAAAGAATTGTGATTCGATTCTCTGAAAATCTGCATTCAAAATTTTCATTTTAGCGTTGATCAAAATTTTGACCCATTCTCATGTTAGTTATTTTAATGATTATGACTTGTAAAAAGTCACCCACAACTGGACTTCTAGAGTTCATAACTTTACCAAACTTAAGCCGATTTCAAAGTGGCATACCTCTAAAGAATTGTGATTCGATTCTCTGAAAATCTGCATTCAAAATTTTCATTTTAGCGTTGATCAAAATTTTGACCCATTTTCATGTTAGTTATTTTAACGATTATGACAACTTGTAAAAAAGTCACCCACAACTGGACTTCTAGGGTTCATAACTTTTCCAAACTTAAGCCGATTTCAAAGTGGCATACCTCTAAAGAATTGTGATTCGATTCTCTGAAAATCTGCATTCAAAATTTTCATTTTAGCGTTGATCAAAATTTTGACCCATTTTCATGTTAGTTATTTTAACGATTATGACAACTTGTAAAAAAGTCACCCACAACTGGACTTCTAGAGTTCTTAACTTTACCAAACATAAGCCGATTTCAAAGTGGCATACCTCTAAAGAATTGTGATTCCATTCTCTGAAAATCTGCATTCAAAATTTTCATTTTAGCGTTGATCAAAATTTTGACCCATTTTCATGTTTGTTATTTTAATGATTATGACAACTTGTAAAAAAGTCACCCACAACTGGACTTCTAGAGTTCATAACTTTACCAAACTTAAGCCGATTTCAAAGTGGCATACCTCTAAAGAATTGTGATTCGATTCTCTGAAAATCTGCATTCAAAATTTTCATTTTAGCGTTGATCAAAATTTTGACCCATTTTCATGTTAGTTATTTTAATGATTATGACAACTTGTAAAAAAGTCACCCACAACTGGACTTCTAGGGTTCATAACTTTACCAAACTTAAGCCGATTTCAAAGTGGCATACCTCTAAAGAATTGTGATTCGATTCTCTGAAAATCTGCATTCAAAATTTTCATTTTAGCGTTGATCAAAATTTTGACCCATTCTCATGTTAGTTATTTTAATGATTATGACTTGTAAAAAAGTCACCCACAACTGGACTTCTAGAGTTCATAACTTTACCAAACTTAAGCCGATTTCAAAGTGGCATACCTCTAAAGAATTGTGATTCGATTCTCTGAAAATCTGCATTCAAAATTTTCATTTTAGCGTTGATCAAAATTTTGACCCATTTTCATGTTAGTTATTTTAACGATTTGACAACTTGTAAAAAGTCACCCACAACTGGACTTCTAGAGTTCATAACTTTACCAAACTTAAGCCGATTTCAAAGTGGCATACCTCTAAAGAATTGTGATTCGATTCTCTGAAAATCTGCATTCAAAATTTTCATTTTAGCGTTGATCAAAATTTTGACCCATTTTCATGTTAGTTATTTTAACGATTATGACAACTTGTAAAAAAGTCATCCACAACTGGACTTCTAGAGTTCATAACTTTACCAAACTTAAGCCGATTTCAAAGTGGCATACCTCTAAAGAATTGTGATTCGATTCTCTGAAAATCTGCATTCAAAATTTTCATTTTAGCGTTGATCAAAATTTTGACCCATTTTCATGTTAGTTATTTTAATGATTTGACAACTTGTAAAAAAGTCACCCACAACTGGACTTCTAGAGTTCATAACTTTACCAAACTTAAGCCGATTTCAAAGTGGCATACCTCTAAAGAATTGTGATTCGATTCTCTGAAAATCTGCATTCAAAATTTTTATTTTAGCGTTGATCAAAATTTTGACCCATTTTCATGTTAGTTATTTTAATGATTATGACAACTTGTAAAAAAGTCACCCACAACTGGACTTCTAGGGTTCATAACTTTACCAAACTTAAGCCGATTTCAAAGTGGCATACCTCTAAAGAATTGTGATTCGATTCTCTGAAAATCTGCATTCAAAATTTTCATTTTAGCGTTGATCAAAATTTTGACCCATTTTCATGTTAGTTATTTTAATGATTATGACAACTTGTAAAAAAGTCACCCACAACTGGACTTCTAGAGTTCATAACTTTACCAAACTTAAGCCGATTTCAAAGTGGCATACCTCTAAAGAATTGTGATTCGATTCTCTGAAAATCTGCATTCAAATGTAGTGTGTAATAGAGTGACTCAAAATTGGACTTCTCGTGTAAAATATACATAGTTTCATTTTTTTAGTAATATACGCATACAAATTGAAATGTAGTCGTTTTGTAATAACTGCAAGGGTATATAAACTTAGGCTTGACGAAGTTTGCTTCCTTTCTTGTTTATAAGTAGAGTTTTCTGAAAACGAAAAATAGTTGCAGGGATATCGTTCCGCTTTTATTAAAGGACCTTTTAATATAATGGTTTGTGCCATCGTCATTCAATGCAAGTGTCCTAAAAACAAGCTATTTAAATATTTAGTACCAAGTCGATTACTCCCGCCCACTCTTTTTCAAAAAATCCTCAAGTTGAGATGAAGATGGAGATGGTAGCAACAACAGCCTGGCTGACAGAAAATCACGCCAGTCAGCGCCAGCAAATGCAAATTTAATGGTCTATGAAAAAGGTAGCCGGGCAAATGCTTTTAACCACATCCGCTGCTATTAGTTCACCGTCAGAACCGTTGCTAAACAACAAGAGCGACGGATAACAATGGAAAATGACGCCAGTGGAAATGCGAAAATCAATGCGCATTAGTGGATGGTGTTATTTCATCTTATTCTCCGGTAGAATTGGCAATATCCCTCTGCCACCATCGCTTAAATTTTACATTAGCCAAAGCGGATGTGGAAATCAAGCACCACCGCAGGAGTAGAGCAGTCGATTGAACAGTGAAAATTTCTAATGTCACGAACTTCTGAGTTTGGGTTGCAATGGAGGTAATAGAGGATTATGACCTTAAGGCATAAGAAACTTTTTTATTAATACTTGTCTTAGAATGTGCATTTCTCATCGGGAATTTGGAAAAATATAAATAAAAACTTGAAAGGATTTTGCAGACTACTGGCATTTTCCAATACATCCCAAATATATATATGAATGGAATTTTCAATTATTTTGTGGATATAATGTCTTAATTGATTTATTGAAAATTAATTAACGAAAACGGAAATTCTTAAAACGAATTTAACAAGGTATAACATTCCAACATTTGACAATTATTTTCAAGGGTTTTTTGCCATAAAAAATATCCTTACGAATTGAAAGGCAATAAATGAGACATTTTTGATTCTATTAGGTATATTAATTCATTAAATTTCAGCTTGCCGATGCAATTATAATAATCATTTAAAGGATAAGAAAAGCAAATATTTATTTATTTGAGAAAAAAATTGCAAAACAAACGGGTAGTTCAGCCAACCGTTTTGAGAGCAATACCGACAAAGTTAAGCCTT